TTTTGACTTAAGTTGCCTCTCCTGGAACCAATTACCAACGTAAGGCGAGATATATCTGTAACACGGTCTGTTCAAAGCATAAAAAACGCTCAAAATTCATGCCAATTCAANTTACAAAATCATCTTATTTTATAATGTCTTAGAGCAAACCACATTCACAAATAAAGAGTCTGCGATGTACTGTAAACATCGCCAAATTGTAAACATGTACATTTACAAGTATTCCTGTATGCACACGAATTTGTAAATTTAGATTACTATTTCTGTACTATATTATAAACTAAAATTTATTTGTTTGTAAGCTTAAAATAGATTCTTATGAACCATACATTATTAAAAATGCATTTATAAATAAAATACAGAATTGGGAATGGTTATTTGTGGTTTAGCCTAGTGACAAGTAAATTCGACTTACATTGTTTTTTGACTTAAGTTGCCTCTCCTGGAACCAATTACCAACGTAAGGTGAGATATATCTGTAACACGGTCTGTTCAAAGCATAAAAAACGCTCAAAATTCATGCCAATTCAAATTAACATGGCATTTCATTGAATCATATTATAAGGTGGCAATCACAAAGGCAATTCGTCATAGCACCTTACTTTCCTTAAATCTATGTTTATTTTGTGCAATTTTGGAAAAAATAAAACATCATAGAAAATATCAACTTCACTTGGCAAGAATTAACTGATAAATGTATGAATAGTGTGTGGAAGAAGTTATGGCTGAAGGTATCCAAGAATTCTCAACATGAAGAGCTTATCGTTGTAATCGATACAGCAGCACTCGGAGATGTAGACAAGCAGGATATTGGGTAGTTACTGCAGGTTTCTGGTGAGAGCCTTACCAACAATGACTTCAAGAACTGGCAGAACAAGGAATTCATATAGAACTGGAAAATTGTGACTCTGAAAATGAAAAACCCCAAAGAATTTCTCTACAGACTTCCTTAGTAAAAGTTTGGTAATGATAACCGAAATCGTTGATCAAATTGTAATGAATGATCCAGATTTTTAAAGGGGTGCAAAAGCAAAGCAAAATGTTTTGGATGAAATCTTCTATGACCGACATTTGCTTAAGGAAAGAAAAAAAAAGCGACAAATAAAACTACAAACTTTATCACAGAAAACAAGAATTTCAGAAAAGCCAGGACCTTTGTCACAAAATATGAACTTTGCATTTCTGTGTGCATATGTTTGTGTGTTATTTAACATATACTATTATGTAAATTAATATAAAAATAACTTAAAATTATAGTAAAAATTGTTTATTTGTGGTCATGTGTTCCCCTTTCCCTATTTATTCTATGTTAAAATGACCTCATTTAATGCTGTTTCGCTTAGCGCTTTGATGTCTAGGAACACATTCCCCGTGTTAAGCGGAGTCGTATTGTCTTTTAATTTAACAGGCATGAAATAGATTTAATTTTAGTTTAGAATTTTTTTTTACTTTTTATTTTTTTCCATCCTGTGGCTCTTTTTATACCTATGATGAGTTCAGTCTGGCCTACAAATGGAGCAAGTAGGGTGGTGAGAGATAGAACTATTCTGAAAAGAATATTCCCTGAAAAATTTCTGAGGTTGAGAACCTCAGAAATTTTTCAGGGAATATTCAGCCTGTCCTCCTGAGTCACCAGAATGACAGGCTGACTGACTTTCCACAGCAGAAGGTTGATACATTTACTGTCTCAGCCATCAGATTTAGTTAGAATTATATTCAATTTATTAAATTATTTTGTTTTAATTATTTCAAAAAAAAAAAAAATCTAAAGTAATGATTTTAAATTTATAAACATTAAGAAATATTTATAAAACTAAAATCATTTTTCAAATCGATGAAACTAAATTTACATCTTTATTATTTAAGTGGATAGACTAAACAATCAAAGTATAATGTGTATTGTATATCCTGTATTATTATTATGTTGAAATTATCCTATATTGGCTGAGTTTTGGGAAAACTAAATTTTAATTATTAAATTTTATTCATTTTTATCAAGATAATTTCGACAGAACTGAAGAAAAATATGAAGATAAACTATATTTTCTAAACCATTTTTTTCAGAATCTATTTTTTATATCCAATTTCAATCTTACACAATGTGTTAATACACTTAAAATTTGATTGAAATACTGTAATTACATCACCTAAAGATAGTTTTTTAATTAATTTTAATATATAATGTACTAATTTAAAAAATGTTTATTTTATTTTACAACTTATTTTCTGTCACATCTAAGAAAATCTGACTTTATTTTAAACTTTTATTTAATCCAGACAAATCCTTCCATAAACATTTTTCACACAAAAAAATAAACTTATAAGAAGCAATTGCCTGAACTGTAGTTATAAATATAACCTCTGAATAAGACTAGTAAATATTATGAAAATTACTTTATCTATCTCATAAATTCATAATAATTATGAATATTTTTATTACTATCAATTTATTCTCATTTATATCTACATTTCTAATGTTTTAATTGTTTAAATTAAATATACATATTTTCACATACAAATCAAACAATTTTTTTCATTTCTTTTATGTCTATAAAATTTTTCTGAGGCAGAAGTTTATATATCCTTGTTAAAATATGTTCAAATAAAATCTAAACAGCTGAAAAATTAAAATTTAGATATTTCACTTCAAATTTACAAATTTAGTTATCAATCTGAATGTTGGAGAAATTTTTTGGTACAGTAGAGCCTCGAAAACTCGGTCTAATGTGGACCGAAGGGTGGCCGAGTTTGTGAAAATGCCGGGTTATCGGGAATGGGGTTAAAAAAAGAATAAGTATGAGTGTTTCCTCAGAAAATACTGTACTGTACTTATTTGTATTGTTTACTTGAGAATACAACAGAGAATAAACTGCCCTAATACCCTTAAACAAAAGAAAAGTACGTCTTTTATGAAGGCATAGAACCTTTACTACATGAAAATGAAAATTAATGAATACACTGTACAGTAATTTACCTAATAAGACAGACCTCAGAAAAATACTTTGAGGCATAAAGCTGTCTTTATCATGAAAATTAATTAACTAAAGATTTTTTTGCCCTGCCAGGGTGTGGCTGAGTTATCCGGAGTGCCGGGTTATCGAGTGCCGAGTTTTCGAGGCTCTACTGTATTAAAAGCATTTTAAAAATGCTTGTCAAGAATAATTAAAATATACATAATTCTAACATTTACTCATAAATAAAAACATATTGAATTTTAAAAAATTATTTCAAAATATATAAACATTACATTTTCATATTTTAAAATCTTTTAAATTTTATCATTTATCAGTTTTAGTTTATTATTAATTCAATAAAAATTATTTAAAAAATATAAAATTTTATAAAGAATAAGACAGATTAGCCTATCATTACTCAGTGAATGGAACTTCTATTCTTATTAATTTTTTAAAATATTTTACATTTTAATCCAAATAATTACATATTTTATCGAAATCAAATTGAAAGTCAAAACAAAAGGCCTAATATGGAAGTTAACTTACTCCAAAACTTTAACTGTTTATTTTAAACTGTCAATCTTAAAACTTCTAATTAACTTCTATTAACTCCATTATTTTCTATCATTAGTGCTTTTGTAATGTGCAAGTTTTGAATATAATTCAAAATTTTTAATAGTCCTTATTTAGTACTTCACAACTATCTAGTTAATATTTCAATATATTTTATGAAAGAAATATAAAATTACAAGTATATTATATTACATTACTCAAATTTGTGAATATTTCCAGCATCTATGATTATATTATACTGTTTATTATTAATTTCATATCTGGTAGAAATGTTATCTATAATTGTGTAACTAACTTCAATTCAAAAACAGATTCATTTGAAAATTTTTAGAACTAATACAATTAAATAAATCTAATTTTGTATGCTGATATTTTCAAGATTCTGTACTAAAAATTTAATATGAACATTCAGTCATAACAAAAAAGTTCTATTTTAAAAAATATTGAGTAGGCAGAAACCTAAGATTTCAACAGCCAACTGACTTATGTTGTAATACACTACTTGACCAATGTTGCAAAATACGTACAGTTAATAATATGAAGTGCATTCAATAACCTACATACAGCTCAATTATATAATTTTTGTCATATTGTACCTTATTAAGATAATGTAATATGATGCAGTCAACTTAATTTGAATATACCATTTAATCTATATTATATCAAGTTTACTCTGTTAAATTTAAGTGTATGATTTCTAGATATTATAAGAAGCAAGACACAGTCTTATGTATTCTCAACTGAATGACATAATATTTGTGTATTATATACATAATGCTGTCTTTCAATTTATTTATAAAAGAAAATATTGATGCTAATGTTAAATGTACTAAACCTACTCCATTTACTAAACTGTATTAGAATGTTTTGTTTCAAACAGCACCCAATAAAATCTTCTCTAATAATTTATTTTACAGTATCATTTTACAGAGAAAACATATAAAATGATACAACTAAAAAATTTCAAATGTATTTAATATAAATTATTTAGCTACATATATTGTTTATATATTAATATAAATATAAATTTTTGAAATTTTATAAATTTGAAAAATAAATTTTGGTCATATTTATGATTATATAATAAAAATTTTATATATATAATATGTAACATATTTCATTTTCTTTATTATTATTTTCTTTGTGTAATTAAAAAATACAGTAAATTGAAACCAAAACTTTTAATTTATCTTCTATAATTAATGAGCACTTATCTATTTAGAAGTTAAAAATGATAAAAAATTAATTAGAAATTAATTTTAATCATCTTCAACATCTAAATAATAAACATTTCATTTTTCATTTAGACTTTTCAGTTAAAACATTTTGTTAAATGCTGAACGTTTCTCATCTGTAATATACCTGATACATTTGATGAATCTTTTAGTTGTATCTTTCAGCAATACTTCTTAATTTATAAAAATACTTTTAAAATTTTTATCAATTAAATATATCTTAGTATTTAAAAATTACCTTATTATTATTAGTTAATTTGGAGAATTGCCCAAACTGTTGAGATTGATAAACTGTACTAGAAGATTTTCTTTGTTCTAATCTTGCTTTTTGAATATCATCTTCTATATAATTTTGTTGCTTTTTTGTATTTAAATCACCTTAAAAATATGAAAATTAATAAAATGAAAATAAATTTAAACAAAAATCTATTTATATTCATTTTTATTAAATTACTTTTGAACTTTTAGTTAGTTTTCTTACAAGATTAAAATATTTAATTTAAAAATTTTAAATAATCAGAGGATGTTGATAGTATAAAATACTTTTTCCTAATAAAATAAACATAGTTCATAAATAATAATTAATAATATTCAATTAGATTTAATTTTATTATAAACAAAATTAAAATGAATAAAGAACTTATAACTTTAAAACTAATTCTAATTGTGAGATTTTAAAAAACTATATAATAATTAAGTGTTTAATTAATTAATTCTTATAAAAACAATAGTTTAAATTTTCATATTTAAACAAAACAATTTTAATTTTATATTAATTAGACAATTGTACTTACTGGAAAACAAAAATAAACTTCTGTATAGAATAAATATTCAGAAATAATCTATATTCATACTACAGAAGAGAATGAATTCAAAATTGTATATTCAGCAAACTATACCAAGCAGGAGAAAACATACTAGAACAACATTTGCTTACACATGGCAACAGAAACTGAAACACTTTGCCAAGTTTTCTCTCAGCAAAATGAAAGCTTCCAGTAAACTTTATATGCTTGCAAGTTTCAGACAGTTGACATGAATGCTATTTATAAGTTCAGACTAACATAGAAACTGGATCTGGGCCAAACAATTCATGAAAACTCCTCGATATAATATTTATTAGTAATAAAATTTACTAATTTAAGATAGTTTACTTTTGAAGACTTTAAAAATAACAAACTTCTTAATCATTTGACCAGTGAGTGCTTGATTTGTAAAAAACATTATTATTTTAATAATTTTTTTCCCTTATCTATAAACAAATGCTTATTATAATTTTAGAAACATTGCTTACTTAATTTTAAAATCAGTAAATCAGTTTAAATGTTCTAAAAACACTTAAGCAGATTTACTTCATAAAATTAACTTGTTTATGCATGATTAATTAATTATAAATAAAACTCTTAAAATATCAACAAGAGATTTTTGGCTATTCTAAATTATAATTTAATTGTATTTTGGCAGATAAACTTAATGCTGAATTAATTATAACAAGTTTGTTTAAACATTTATTAAAAATTAAATTCTGTTAGGTATATTGTACAAAATTAAATAATATATATAAATAAAAACTTATGCAAATTTTAAAAAGCAGGCATTCTTGAAGATATTTGTTTATTATTACATTCCCAGTTTCATAACACAATACTGAATGTACAGCAGAGGCCATGGAAACTGCATCATCTATGATATACACTAAAAAGTATTAAATATGCTACTTTTCAGATCTGTTGAAGCTATGAATGATTTGTAATGATAAATATGTACAGCACAGAAAAGAAACCAAATAAATAAATAAATATAAACTAAAATATCATATAATGCTATACTTAATTTAAGTGTTATTTTACACCACAGTCTCACCAATATTGTTAATGAGTAATGCCACAATAACTTGCCATTCACAATTAAAAAAGCAAATATAAAAGAAAGAGGTTCACAGCATAAGCAGATCTGTAAATAAACATCCAAGGGATCCTAATTCTTTGTAGTGCAACCACAAATCTTATTAACAGCTTTGCAGCATTCTGGCATTGAGTGGATGAATTTCAAGTCTCTTCTCTGTAATTTTTATACTCATAAAATGCCAGCATTTCTTAATAGTGTTGAGATCAAGACTGCTACATAGCCAGTTTAGACATCTGATCTTGCCCTCTTGAAGAAATTATTGATATTAAGTTTCAATAATACTAAAAAACCATAAAGGACAGATATTTTACTCATCATATTGGCTTGGTGACATGATGCAGAATCATCCTGGGAGATAAGGAATAATTTTATAACACAAAATCTTCTGATTGTTGGAATCAGCTTGGTAGATAAGATGTTTTGTAGCATCTGGATTCACAGACCCATTTATAAAGTGCAGTCTGCTGACATCTTTATTAGATATGCATCCCACCTTCATTGTCTGTATTAAGTAATTCCTATTATATGCCTTGTCTTCTCTATGCCTTGTGTAGTGTTTGCTGTCAATCCATGCAAATTAGATTTAGATTCAGCTGAAAGCATAACAGAATTCCATATATTAATGCTTCAGTCCGCATGCTGTTTAACCCAGATAAGTTGTCGTCTGTGCATTATACTCATCAGCAATGGCTTCTTATATGGACATTAAGCTTTTAAATCCTGTTGCACAGACAACATTGTATAGTTCATGCATTCATTTTTATGCCTGTCTCTCTTCCACTTTACTTTCAGTTTAGAATTGGCAGTACATTATTGCAGACTGAGATGATGAAGCATCCTACCCTCACACAGTATACTAACATGTTTATCTCTTGATCTAGCATTTCTATCAATGTTGTCATGTTTACATCTCCTTTGTAACAAATTTATAATTGTTGAATTGATAATAATGCACTCTCTGCACTATTTTACAAGAAGATAAACCTTTAGCATTCAAAACAATAAATACAGACTTTTTATGTGGTGTTTTATGTGGTGTTATCAAAAATGTTCCACTTTGCTTATTAAAGTTTTACCACATTCACGAGTCTTCAAATGGATAATACAATCACCAGAAACATTGTTACAGTAGACTTTATATAAACAGTAAAATAAAAAAAGCATTCCAATGTTTATAATATCATGAATAATGTAATCTTTAAGGTTTTTTTAGATCTGCAGCAAAATAACACTATAATTTAAACAAATAAATACATTTCATAGGATTTTATGAGTGATGAAATTTCCATGGTTGCTAATGTAGTTGCTGTCTTATATAAAAGCATTATAATTTGAAACAATTAAAATTTATGTTTTATAATAATATTTTAAATAATTACATTATCTACTTTAGTTCTGGAAATTGCAATTATTAACATTCTACTGCAACTATTCAGTAAATTTATTTTCTCATTAACATGAGAAAATAAATCTACTGAACATTTACTAACAAAAATATGTCTTTTTTTAAATCAAAAAATAACTAATATTGTTTATTAATATTATATCTTATCAGATTTTAATCTTGTAATAAATTAAAAATTTTCCACTACTTTTTTAAATATAAGAATGTAAATATTAATGTATTAAACAATAAACAGTTTAATAAACAGCCAATATAAAATCATTTAAAAGTCAAATTTAGACATAATAAAACTTTCACTAAAACAAATTTTTCATTATCTTATCAGGATTTTTCTCACTTCATTTCAGAACAACATAATATAATGCATGAACATCATATAAGTGAAAAAATGAAAACTAAAATTTTTAATTATCAACAAGATATTTTAATAGTTAGATAATTATTTAAAGTGTTTATCTTTTAAGAGAGAACATTAAAGCTCAAAAATGCTAAGATCAACAAAATTTGATCCCAAAAAGCCATTTTCAACTTTTTGTTAAAAATAAGAAAAACCTGAGATATTTTAAACAAATTCAGGATATAATCTAATTTTTAAACTATAAGCATTCAAATTATTCCTCCTAATTTTTCAATTTTCCTGGAAGAAATTTTAAACAAGACATACCATTAAGTGAATCCAAATGAATAAATCAGCTCCTATTTTTATAGGAAATAAAGCTTACATTAACAGTTTTGTTAATATCTTGGAGTCTATACATTATATTACTATAGCATAAAAAAAATAAACAACACAATGTTAAATAAAAGAAAAAAAAGCTTTAAGAAATAAAATATCCTGTTTCCTTTTCTTTTTGTATTACTTAAAGAATTTGCACATTTCTTACAATTTTATCATAATTTAACATTGTTTTATTTATTTTTCTGCTATATTACAGTTTTATTAAATTCATCTGTCGCTGGAAAAATCATTCATCTTGCTATTTTTTCTGCAGAACAAAAGAAGCATAATTCTGCTTCTACTACTTTCATTTTGCAGAAAAAATAGCAAGATGAATGATTCTCCCGGTGACAAATAAAGAAAACTAAGCCATAGCCACCCCAAAGATTTTCTCCACTTTTAGGAGATTCTCCAAAAGGGAGAAAATAAGTCCTTCAGATAAGAAAACAAATAAGAATATAAATAATGGGGTTGACTCCATTCAAAATAACATTGGCAAATTACACGGAAACCCACTCATGGAAAACAAGCACCCTGCCCCAAAGAAAGAACTTATTGGAGAAGATACTTGAGAAGATTGAAAGAATGGAAAAAGATAAAGTACCTAAAAGGAAGCTTTCAAGACTCATGAAAGAACAATTCAAGTCAAGAAGGCAGGAAATAAACACAAAGAAAAATTTAATTACATTTTATGTTTATTATATCATTTGAATATAAAATTTCTTAATCCAAAAAAATTTTCAGTTTTTTTATTTTCATGAATACTTTTCTTTTTGATATTTACTTATTATCTTAATTATCTCAATCATCTGAGAATAGTCACAGCCAAATAAAAATAAAACTATATACAATTAAGTACGATATTATTCTATTTTTGAAATATAATTAAACTGCAAAATACAGGTTGCAATTATGCTCTGACAATAAAAATGTGCCTGTCATCAAGCATGACATAATTCAACAAACAGAATTTTAGTTAATATGATGTTAAAAATTCTACTAAACATAATTTAAAACTTCAAAGTATAAAAATATAAATAAAAGCAATAGGATCAGTTTATTCTATAAATTTTAAAAATTGAAAAGCTCAAAAGATACTTAAAGATTAAGAAAGTGATTGACTTCAATTCTTTCCACTTGAGTGTTTTTAGTTTCTTAGAAATTGGAAAAAACTGAGTAATTTTAACTCGTTAGTTTAAGAGATATCTTTAAGTATCTTTTTAGCTTTTTAATTTTCTAAAATTTATAACTTAAAACTGTTAAGTATAACAGTTCTAAGTTCTCTTATATTTTCAGTTCCAAGTTCAGTGTCCCTTATATTTTGTTAAGAATATAATTATCTTAATA